TCTCAAATGGAAAACAAGAGATATTATTTAAGCATCCATATTTCCTAAAATCTTGAACAATATGTGTAAGACTATGGGCATTATAAATTAGGTTTTGAATTCCATAAAACTTTAAAATGCCTTTAACAAAAGTTTTTAGAAGTTTTTCAACATAATCACATGTGTCTGTAGAAGGATCCTCTACTAAAAGTGGTCTTATTGATACAGATAGAATTAAAAAATTTTTATGCAGTAATGGCGATAATCTATCTTTTAATACAACTGGTCCAGTATATAACAAAAATTGTCTAAACTCTGTAGCTTTCCATTGCCGAAATTCAAAGAGTGGTTGAGGCCTTCGAGCGAGTTCTTGGGGGACAAAGGATCTAATTGTGTTAAGATGTTTAGAGATAACAACAGCAATAGCTGATGAAATATTTCCAGAGCCCTTACCAGGCATCCACAAGTGAATAAGTTTTTTGACCATACCAAAACATACAAGATGCATGTAGTCTAAAACAAATTGACTAACAAGACCAATACCTGTGCCATGCAAAGGAGATTTTCTATTAAGATGACCATGGGAAATAAATGCATTAAATTGCTTATCAGTTCTTAAAGAAGAAGAAAGTTCAGGAAATATTATACGATTGTTAAAGTACATAATATCCAGAATGCCCTTTCGTACACTTCAAAAATGATCTTGCAGGTGCATCACAAATAAAAGCATCAAAAGTAATATTAAATTTTTTGTCATTAAAGCATAAACCAATTCTTGCTACTGTCAACATATCATCAACAAAAGCTTTTAAATAATCATTTACACAACTAGGTTTGGAATTTCCTGAGTAGATGCCTAATATAAAGATACCAAGATGAGTAAGTTCTTTTACCATATCAAGAATAGGCCAAATGCATAAACTTGAACATCTTGAAAAAGGTACGCCATCAATATTTATATGAAGCGTTAATGTATCTGATATATCATTCAAGGGTATCAATGACGTTTTCAAAAGTAAGCACAGAGAGTTAGATATTCCAAAATGATAATATTGACCACCTCTGCAAGTCACTATATCAGTTACCTTTGGAGTAGATAGTAAAGTTCTAGCATCTGATGGTATGTCTAAAATAAAAAGTTTAAGAATAACCAGTAAAGTAGTTGTTGCAGCAAGTGAAATGTTATACTGAATTGCCCATATAGCTAAACTCTCAATGTTCTCAAATTTAAATTTCAATGTTCTCAAATTTTTTAGAATCAGTACCAAAATCTTTAAAGTCATTGAAATTTTCACCATGAAGATTAGCATTTTCATTAAACATTGAAGAATCATCTTTATATTGAACAGAAAAACCATTAGCTTGTAAATTTATAGTTAAATTTTCCTCATTAAGGCGCATTGGAGATAGAGGATCATCTGATGTAAATGTAAAAGAGGAGACATTAATAAAATTTAGATCAGAATCTGATGGATTTATTTGATAATCAAACGACTCTATAGCAGCAACTCTAAGATGTTCATCTACCCTTGCATGAATGTCTTTGACTTCGCTCACTATATACTTTATTGCTCATTTTTTATATGTATTAAGCAAAAAATTTGATAAAACTATTAAGATATTCACAGTGCTTCGATTTTTAACTTAAGGCGCAATAAAAAACAATTTAAACCAATAGCCGTTCAGAATAATGACAAGGGTTTGCAATAAAAAACCAACGTGGGTCCAATATGGGCAACACATAAGTTATAAAAATCGTATTATTTGATAGGCGGCCCATATAGGTTCCATGTCGAATCTTTAACGCAATCCCATGTTCTTATCGGCCATACAAACCTTGTTGAACAGACATGGGGCCCATGTAAGAATGTTGGCTGGGTAAGTCACAAAAACTATTTTTTCGAATTCAAAAAAAAATCTTTTAGCTCTCTATTCATCGTGTACAGAAAGGTCTGACTCGGAATGTTTTACTATACAATGGTGGAACTGTCTTCAAAGAACAAATTTTCATCAAAAAGTCAAATATTAAAAAAAAAATTACTTACAACGTTTTTGTATACATTGATTCATATGTAAATTATTGTTGTACATTTTATTATTTTGGTCTTCATCAAAAACTCTTAATAAAAAAACTCTACTCACCAGGCCACCATTAAAGCAAGAAGAGGAGAGAAACTCTTTATTAGTGCCAAAATATTTAGGAAAATTAAATTTCGAGTAACAAAAGGAATTTTTAGTAAATGGTAGCAAAATACCGTTTACTAAAAATTAATGAAATAAAGAGGCCAAACAAATATTATAAAAATGGTCTGTGTTTAGCAGACTTAACAAGACCCAGGTCCGGCCATCTAAGTTTTACAAATTTTTTTATCTACTTATCTGTTACAATTTTTTATTTTTGGTGTAACAGACTGATCATAACCCGTAATACGGGTTACTTTTTGCTAGTTCACTAATAATAATACAAATATTTATATTTTTATATTAAATATTACAATTTGTTATACAATTGTTTCATTTTAAAAAAAAAGTTTTTAAATGTAATAACTACTTTGGTCTAGCAGCTAATATTTCTTTAATTTTAGAGCATGCTTTGTTTCAAATGTACTTTGTTATGCTAAATTAGGTCGGGCATTTCTTCAAACCAAAAGCTTCACATTTAATGTTCCCATTATGACATTAGTGCTTACATGTTATAAAACTATATAAGTTTCTCTTTATTTTCTTTTTCAAAATCTTCTTTTTCTTTTTTCTTTTTTTCTTTTTATGTTTTCAACAATTGCTTAACTTTATTACTTTTTTTAATGTACTTGTGTAACAAAATTTTGTCTTTTTGGCAATCAAAATTGACAAAATTTTGTTACACAAACAAGAGCTCCAATTGTTGCTTTTGTTTAATTAGTCAAGAAGTCGAGTCTCTTTGTCTGGTGAGTAAAATAGAGATAAATTTTAGAGACTGTAGAAGATCATTAAACATCACACAGTTCTAAAAAATTTAAATTATATATATATATATATATATATATATATATATATATATATATATATATATATATATATATATATATGTATGTATATATATATATATATATATATATATATATATATATATATATATATATATATATATATATATATATATATATATATATATATATATATATATATATATATATATATATATATATATATATATATATACATATATATATATATATATATATACATACTTAGAAACCTAAAATATGAGTACAACACACTAAAAAATGGCGTGGATAATTGCGCAGCTATCAACCAATAAGAACATATCTTATATGCTCTACATACATTAAAATTGTATGCAGTTTAATTAATCTACATTATTTCCACAACTTACCTCTCCAAAAACCGATAAACGATACGCTGTTAAGTTGTGAAAGGCTTACGTATTTCAAGTTTGCAAATTCTTATTCAATTTCTTCCTAGTGTGAATGTTAGTGCCTGCAATGTTTCAATGTCTCGCCAAGGGCTATAATCTTTGATCGTACCAAGCTGCTTTAAAGTAAAAAAATCAAAAATTTTTAGGAAAGGTTTAAAATCATTCATCATCAAAACAAAAAAAACATAAGATAGTTTTTTTTTATTCTTCCATTAACTGTTTTATACCTATATCCATCTCAAGTTAATCATGACGATTAACTTGAGATAACATCAGTGGCGTTCCTAGTTATGGTGTCACCCGGGGCGGCAAATAGGGTGTCACCCATATATTATATGTAATTATTTTTATATACGAAATTATTAAAGCAGTATTTAGAAACGTTGACACATGTAATTTTAAACCTTGTTTTCGACAATAATAGTTTATTGTCAATAACTCTCTATAAATAATTCTCGTCTATAACAGAGAAAATAATTATTTGAAAACAAATTGTTGCCAAATAATTATTATCTCTGTTTTAGACGATAATAAATTATTATCATCTAAAATCGTCTAAAATCAGCTTTATTCTTTTATATGCTTAAAAAAACAGTAGTACCTGGATTTGATTTGATAGTAAAGTATAATAATAAAATAGCAAACCTACTGAAAGAAAGAAAGCTAAGCGATTATATTTTCTAAATGATGATAACTATATCTTTCAGCATTCAGCATTTCGTAGGTCGCGTAAATAAATACCCACTTATTTTTTTATGTAAGACTGTTTAATTATAAACCAAAATAAAATATAAGATATTAATAAATTGGGTATCACCCAAAAGTGGATGACACCCGGGGCGGTGTTCCCCCTCCTCCCCGTAGGTACGCCACTGGATAACCTGATTGATTAATCTGCTTTTAAAAAACTTTTTTTGCTTTTAAATTTTTAAAATCAAAATATTGTTTTATTTTATAAACTTTCTTTTTTATTTAGTATTCATGTAGTATAATATTGAACCCCTAAAAAATTTAGATGCCTAAAAGGGGAGGCCAATACTAAAAGTTAGTATTTACAAATTTGTGATAAATTTTGTTGTACAATGCAATGACTGATAGAATATCAGATCTTATGATTGCATTCATGACTAAATGAATTGTGAGATGGGTTATCTTATGCAGGAGTTCTTGACTGATTGAATGTAAGATGGATTATCTTATGATGGCAAATACGCCCGATTGAATGTGTAATTGTTCATCTTATATTCACGACTAGTTAAATGTAAAATTTTCTTTTGATGATGTCCTTAATTGATTGAAGGTGAGATAACTTATGATGATATTCTTGGTTTTTAATTATTTTAAATCATGGTTAAAATTAGTCATACTAATTCCATAAGATCATATACTTTCATCCTATATAAATATAAAAACAGAGTTTGGATTATTTAACAAAAATTATTGAACATTCTTATTTACTTGAGGCTTGTGATATGAGTTGAATCTTAGCTATATAATGAACATAAGCTCTCCCTTACTTATTGACGTCATACAATACATATTTTAATACATTCATCTAATCAAAAATATTTTAAAATATTCTGTGATTAATTTTTTAGAAACTTTTTAACTTCACTTATTTTTCTATAAATATATTTACGAATGACCAATAAATACATGTTGATCATTGGCACATGTCACGCGTTTATCAATGCAATCTTGGTAAGGTCCATCTTTGTTAAGTAATCTTGCTAAAGTTAAAATAAAGTTAAGTATAAAAAAGAAAGTTTAATAATTTATTTAAATATTTATTTGTTCTTTATTATTTTTATTTAATTGGCTCCGTATCTAAATAATTTAATTTAATCAGTTTGTTACCGTTTTCGTGAGATTAAATTTCAATGTCATTTTAGATTAAGTTTTTAATCCTTTTAGATTGTTTTTATTTAGTATTGAAATGGTTCAGTGATGCTAGAGTTATAACAACAAATAGCACATCAATTTTTTTTTTCTCTTCAATTAAAAAGCATCAATAATGTCTGCTTTTTTTGTTTATTGTTGTATTGTCTACTTATTAATGAGATAATAACTTATTAAAAATTTGTTAATAGAAAAAAAATTTCTTTTCAATAGTCAAAAACATTTTTTTTAAAATAAAGTAACATCAGAGAGAATTTAGAAAGTTTTCTAAATATTTTCTGGTTTCCCAAAAATATCTTCTTGGTTGATCTTAAAATTGAAAAATACTTAGGGTAACCTGGGGCAAAGTGAGACACTTTCAGGGAAAATGTTCATAACTTGAGAAGTATCACGTTTCACAACAAGAAATTTTGCAGGCCACTAGCACATTATGTGTTTAACGATCTCTTAAATATTTGTGGTGATAGGTTGTTGCATTGGTATATAATTAAACTCAAAATGGCAACAATTGCCCTGTCTCACTTTTCCCAAAACTTGGGGCAAAGTGAGACAGATTTCATTTGAAGAAAAAACTAAGTAAAAATTTAATTTTCAATAAAAATTAAAGCAGACTTTGATAAATTCGATCTGATTAAATATAAGAACGCAAATAAAAACATAAAGGTATCATTTATAATGTAATTTTTCCTTTTAAATCAAAAAACATGATAGGAAAAATTATCAATCAAAAAATATAAAATAACAAAAGATAAAATCAAAAATAATATCAATAAAAAAAATGCATATGCAAAGTTTCATGTTAGTCAACAAATTTGAATAAAATCTTTACACTTAAAAAGCAATCATCGTTTAATGTACAGTCTACGTGTACAAACGCAATACATACACAACAAGCTATCCAGTCGATTTAGGTATTATTGCACCATTTCCCTTGACAAACTGGACAAAACCATTCCTCTTAATTGTTTACATCTTTTTCAAGCATTTCATTAATTTTCTTTTCTTTTTGTTCTTTTTTATATTTCTCTTACTTAATTTATTGTCATTGTTCTTTTCCAGTAACTTTTTTTTCTTATTGTTCTTTTTTTTTTTTATCTTGTTTTTTTCTCATTGTTCTTTTCATAAAATGATGATAGTGCAAAGTTTATAAATTTGCTATTGTGAACGTTTACTTTGACAATTTATTAAGTTTATAAACTTGCTTTCCTTAACGTTTACTTTGATGATCTTTTTCAGTAACTAGCGTTGTCGCACTTTCCCTGTAAATGTGAAGTTATATATTTCTTAAATATCTTTGAAACAAAATAATCTGACATAAAAAGAAGAATGGGAGATGAAAGATAACAAATAAATGATTACAAACTTAATAATATGTTAGTTCTGTGGTAAAAAATGGCAGCGTACGTGGATTTTTTACACAAAAAAAAAAATTAATTTTGATTTTTTAATCAAATTGATGCAGCTCGTAAGCTTTAAATAAACTTTTCTATGTCATAATATAGGAAAAAACTGATGGTAACTACTTTAAAACATTAAAAAAAAAACATGAAACTTTTAATATAATAAGCCAAAATTACTGTAGCATTTTAAAAAAAATCTGTACAATGCTAGAAAGCCTAAATGTCTCACTTTGCCCCGGTGTCTCGCTTTGCTCCAGATTACCCTAAATATTTATAATGCATACATACATACATACATACATACATACATACATACATACATACATACATACATACATACATACATACATACATACATACATACATACATACATACATACATACATACATACATACATACATACATACATACATACATACATACATACATACATACATACATCAAGAAATACAATTTCTCTCAATACTAATAATTTTATTGTTTCAGAAATTTTCTCTGAGTTATATATACCAGCATCATCAGCTTATTAAATATAACAATAATTTTCAACGGTTATAGTTTTTTGTTTTTCTTTATTCTACATTTAAAAAAAATTTCTTTAATATTTCATAAAATTTACAAGTTAAAATATAATATTATAAACAATTACAAATGAAAATTTTAACATATAAAAAAAGAACGCGGAGACTCGTAGAAGACCGTAAGGTCTCTTCGTTGTGAACAAATCAAATCAAATATATTCTGAATAAAGTTGTTACATTAAGGATATTTACAAATAGTAATTTGTACTAATATAAAGTAAACACCTGTCAAACTAAATAAAAATAAGATGGAGATAGTAATAATAATAATAATTATAATACAAGTAGGAATAATAAAAGTAATAGTAGTGATTGTAGTGATAAAAAAAATAATAGTAGCGATTATAAAAAGAATATACTATAGTAATAATAATAATAATAATAACAATAATAATAATAGCAATAATAACAACAAAAATAATAACAACAACAATAATAACAATTACAATAATATTCATTATGATAAAAATATAGTAATAATAACAACAACAGTGATAAGAGAATACTATAGAAACATATCAGTTTATAATAATAAATTTAATAATTGATATTAAAATTAGTAATATATCACGATAGAAAAGAGAAAAAATAAAAGATAAATAGAAGCACTGCGTTAGGGTTATAAATAATAAGTTGTAAAAAGGTATAAGATTTATAAAGAGTATTTTTCTAAAAAAGTGGTTAAAGAGAGCAGTTTTAAATTTTGAGAATGATTTAAGAGATTTTAATTGGGAAGAGAGATTGTTCCAGGTTTGTATGCTTTTATGTTGTATGGATTCGTAGCCGTAATGAACAGTTTGGTATTTAGGTACAGATAATTTTAAGTTAAGAGCAGATCGTAGAATATATTTACAGTTTTCCCTATAACTAAAAAAGTTGATAAATGTAAGAGGTAAGTTATTATGATTTTGGTTCCTAACAAATAGACAATTTGATAGCTGAATAAGGTCACACAATTTATGGACTTTAGATAAAAAATAGAGTATGCTACAGTTCGAATTAGTATGTTGAAAGTAAATTAATTTTAGAGCTTTGTTTTGGAGATAAGTTAGTCTTAAAAAAGCGGTACCGCGGTAAAATGACGTGTTACGTATTTACATGTTAAATATTTGACGTAGTAAGTAAAAAAAAATTGTGTTTTCCAATAATAAAAGAATAGCAAGAATTAAAATAAAATAATAAAAAATAAAAAATTTACAAAAAATTTCTTAAAGATAATATAGACAGATTATATAATAGCAATATAGACTTTCAGATCGTAAATAATTGAATTACAAGTCATACAAACATATATAAAATTGTTACTCTTGACCTCAGCAGTTGAATGGCTACTTTTGCCTTTAAATTTAAAAAATGGCATTCAAAACATAGTTTTGACATATTGGCCTTCATCAAGATTAATTTTTTTTAGTATTGCAATATTGACTGCAATCTCAAATAAATTAAAAATATTGCAATATTGATTGCAATTTTTATTACATCTTTGAGTTTTGAGATTTTGAATACGATTTTGTAGATTACGATCAAATATAGGTAATTACATTGACATAAAACATAATATTATGTTTTTGACATTGTTAACATAGAACGAAAAAAAATAATAAAAAAAAAGTAACATAGTGTTATTTTGTAACAAAAAGAAAAAAATGACGCAGAAAAGTTTAAAGTTCACTGAACAAAAATTTTTTGTAAGCATTTTAATTTTTGTTAATGAGGTTTCTATAAACTAACTTCAAAATTATAAAACTATCAAAAAGAATAAAGTTTTGAGATTTTTTTATACTAATCATTGTCGTATGCGTTTTAATGATAAATTTAAATGGAAATTCGGGGTATAGTTCCCACGCTGACTATAAAATGCGTTTATTTACAACCTCGCAATATTGTTTTATTGTTGTTTTACACAACTTTTTACAATAAAAATTTAATATGCTTTTAAAGTAAAACGTGTTTTATCATCAGTATATACGGGGAATAATTTTTTTTTATTAACTTTGATTCTTTTTAAAGTATTTGTTTCTTTAAAAGATTTTGTATCTTTGTTTTCATATTTCTCTTGGATGAAATGCGAAACCGCTAGTTCAAACACTTTTCCCCTTTAATTCGTTTATATGATATCGTTAACTAAAAAATTAAAAATTAAAGTTGACTCTGTTTAATCTTATGAAACACGCATAAAGTTAAAGAAAAATAACTTAAATACAGTTGTAATCTACTTTATATACAGTTGTAATCTACTTTATATAATGATTCTTTTTAGAATAAATCTGCTATTAAAGGGAGAAAATGCAGGGAGAAAAGTTTGCTTTTGAAAAAAACTAAACAAATTTAATATCAGAAAATTTGCCACAATTTTGAGCAACCATTTAAACATATTTTCTTCTTTAAAAAACAGAAAAAGTTATCAGAAAACAAGTGTTTATTTGTTTTAAATGTAAAAATTAAAAAAATCAAAAATTGCCAAAAACTTCAAATGTCTGAATTAAATTATGTGCTGTAATTTTAAGACCATAAAGACTTCTGGGAGCACCTTAAAAACCACAAAAAAAAAATTAAGTCTGAATTAAATTATGTGCTGGAATTTTAAGTCCTATTTTGCTGTACATAATCACTCAAAAGTAATGAATGGCAAAAGCAAAAATCTAAATTTTTTTACATTTAAAAAAGGAAAATAGTTAATTTTTAATTTTTTAGTTAACTGAAATGAAAATTTAATTGCGGTCACATGCAAAGACCTAAGATTATTTCCATTTTTAATTTTAGGTTTAAAAATGGTAATACACCCTTATACACCCTTAATACACCCTTACAAAGAACTTTAACTTATAGGCACTAGCTGTTTGACTATCAATTCATAATAAGAGAATCACAACATGTTGAAACAAATATTTATTGAAACATAACACGCTTACAGATTTTTATTAACGGTGGTAAACGCGTTTACTTACACGTTTGTGAAAACTGTTTTTTTTTTTTTGTATATATTTAGGTGCTCCCAGAAGTCCTTACGGTCTTATCGCAGAGCACCGCGGGAGAGCATTTAACAGGAAACTCACGCCTCCTTCCGTACCAATGTTGCTTATTGGGCTAGAGCCGGCCTCGAACCTCGGACCTCTGGGTTCTGAAGCAGAACTCTAACCACTGCGCCACGGCTGCTCTAAATTTATTTTGTTATTGTTTTATATAAATTCTTACCATACCAAACTAGATAAAAGGATAATAGCGCGTTGATTCAAAAGGTTCTAGTCTTCCCCCGTTTGATTCAACACTTATTTTAGTCTTCCCCCGAAATCTATTCTGTATGAATTATTTCATGACGTAGATGAAACTGATTGTAACCTTGATAATATAAAAAAAAGAATTAGAAATAAAAGTTGCTTTTCATTTTAATGTCTCCCCCGCTCAATCATCCCCATTGAATAAAATTGCTCTCTGAAAAGAAAGGATGAGGAGGAGTAAAGTAGCGATTACTTAAATAATCTTGAATTTATTAATTTTTATATAGAAAAAAGCTTTATTATTTGCCTTCGTCGTAATACCTTATTATACAATAATATTTATTGATATATTGTTTTAAGTTTAAAGTTATAATTAATAACAATAAATATGAATTTTTTTCTAAAAATAGTTTGATAATACTGTATAAAACTTATTTTAAATTCGTGAAATTATCGTGGAAATACTATACTATATGCAGTGTATTAAATTGTGTACATGCAATATTGTATTTTGTATGTGTGCATATTGTATAATGTATGCATAAGTTTCTGTATATTATATGGATGCAATATTGTGAATTGTTTGCAATCAAATGGTTGATCAGTTTAATCGTTACTTATGGTTTCCTTTTTTATTTTTATTTTTCAATGCTTTATCTTTTGATTATTAATTAATTATAGCTTTTTTGTTCAATAAGTCTAATAATAATGAAAAAATAATAAATTAAATAAATTTAATAATCATTATTTTGTTTTAACTTTTGATATTTGAACTTAAATTTTAATGTTATACGTTTTTTTCTACTTACTCCAGACTACAAACTCCAGAGAAAAGCAGAGTAATTAGGACGTCAACTTAATAATTAAAGAAAACTTATTTATTCTAATTATATTTATTCTAAATTTGATTTTAAATTAAATCATTAACTAATTCATAAATGTTATTTTTTTATATATTGAATGAAAAAATTAAATTGAAAAATAAAATGCTTTTATTGTTTGTTTTCTTTTTTAGAAAAAATCTTTGAATTTTTATATTTAAACTCTGTAAAAATGGTTTCAATGGTTTCATATACCCTTGTTTTTACTGCTTTTATAATTGTATCAGGTTTGTGTTTTTCTATAATAAATTTGTCTAAAATACTTAAAAAAGATTTTTCAATTTTTTTTAACTTATGTTTTTATTATTATTATTTTATTACTTTTCCTAAACCATTTTTGGAGTTGACCTTTTTTTTTTTTTAATGATTTCTATTTTTATATTCTTTTTTATATTCACCATTTAAAAGACGATAGTCGTTTCGAAAGTCTTTCTTTCATTAAAACCTGCACTTTTTCAGTTTTTCATAAATTGAGCTTGGTTGTGACATAAATGAGAGCTCTAAATACCGAGTTTTTGTTTTATCAGAATAACTGTTATTGAAACTTTTTGATAGCAAGTTAGAACTTCAAAAAAATTTGCCAAAAATTATAAGAATATAACATAAATTAAGTTTTAATATTTTATATCTTTATCACATTGGCGTGCTAACCCATTCATTGGGAAGATTATCAATTTACTGGTAAAATTATTCATTCATTGATAGAATTACTCATTCATTGTCAGGGTTATCTTTTGTAAATAAATTATGAATTGATACAAAAATGATTTTGCCAGCTTTGTAAATTTTTTTTTTTTTTTGCGTGTAAAGTGCGACAATGAATGGGGTGATTTGTATTCATTGTTTTGCAACAATGAATGAGGTGATTTGTAACACAACAATTTTAAAGTATAAATCTTGCAGAGAAATCAAAAAAATTTACTTCGTAATTCACAAATTTCACATAAATTTTATATTAATAGTAAAGAAAAAGTAAAATACAGAAAATATGTGTAGACTCAGAAGTATTATTTTTTTTTTTTTTTTTTTTTTTGAACTTCAAAATTTTTATTTTGTGAAACTTCAAATTGACTGTATAAAGAATTGCTTAGTTTATGATTACATAATAAACATTTTTGTTTATTATGTTTTGGTTTAGACTGGTATAAAACACGATGTAGGTTCCACATGTTTTTTGTTGCTGTTGTTGTTGTTGTTTTTTGTTTTTGTTTTTTTACTAGAGATAAGCCCATTTTCCAGTATCTCACAATACCCAAGCTGATTTAGTCTTTCTTTATATATTTTACGACAGCCAACGTCTGAGCCTGATTATACCCCACGTACCAACAGAGCCACCACCTTTTTGAATACGGCTATGCATGTATTGATTCGAATATTCTTCTGTATTTTGCGGGAAAAAAACCTCTTGTTTTTTTTTTTTTTAATAATTTCGAAATTCAAATCTGCGTTAAAAAATAACATTTTCCATTGAAATTATGAATAACTTAAACCCTATTTACACTATTTTGTTTTTTTTGTTTTTTGCGGTTAGTTGACTTCAACAAAGGCTTTCTTACAGTTTGAAACAAATTCAATTCTTTCATGCATTATAACTTACTTATTGTCGTACGACTAACTGTTTTCTCCATAAGCGAAGTTGTAGGTTCTGCACTTAAACTGATACTCCTACTTTTGGGTTGCTTCTACTTAGCGTGTAAAGCATGTTTTTGTCTCGTGCTGACAGTTTTTTTGGACGCCCAATACGAGGTTTGTTATTGACAAAACCAGTTGATAAATAATTTTTTCTTGTCGCACGAACACTGAATTCAGAAATATTCAAGCATCTGCCAATTTGTCAATTGCTCAATTTCATTTTGTGCATGCCAATAACTTTCCATTTGGTTTTCGATAAGACAGCTCTTCTACCCACGAAAGTATGATTTTTGGACTAGGATTTTTTTATTAGTTGAAATTGCTAAAGGTTGATTCGTAGTCGCGGTCTTTATCCAAAATAAAATAAACATAAAGATGCAAACATGGCCGGCGCTAGTAAGTGTCACGTAGGGAGGAGGGGTGCCATTACAATTTTTCAAAAAATTAAAAGGACTTGATTGCTCTCTTAATTTTTCCGTCATCCTCTACCTCCTTTATAATCTTTATAACTTTTTTCTAACTTAAGTTGTTAAATTATACCCATACTATAAATGAACATAAAAATGCAGACCATATCACATCAATATATTTAGTTTTAATTTTTTTAAAATTATACACGTTAAAAAAATAAGTGCGTTTAAACTTATTTTTCTGTACACGGCGATTCAACTTAATTTTGTGAATTTAATGCAACTTACGAATTTCATCAATATTTATAAAAATTGAACTTGAATATCTCTTATTTATATTAACTTTTTGAGTTTAAATAAGATTTTTTTTTACTTCTCATTATTTTAGTTTGTTCTTAAACCTTTAAGTTTTTGGTAAATCAAAAAAAACTTTGAAAACACAAGTCAGAATTTTGTGTCGAAAAAAAATATTTTTTTGACTTTTTTTTATTTTTTTGACCGTTTTTATTTTATTACTTTATTTTTAATTTTTTCTTTGAGCTGACGTGTTTGACGTGTTTAACGTATTATCCCTATAGTTATATAATTTATAATATTTAGAAACAGTAACTTAAAAAAATCCTGTGGCTCTGTTGCAACTTACTCCTGTTGCAACTAGCCCCGGTCTCCCCTTTATTTTAGTAATTCTAATATGGGTACTTATAATTTTATATCAGTAATTTTTGATACAATACGGTTATTTATAATTTTATATAGGTAATTATAATTCAGCTTTCAAATTGAAAAGTATAATGTTCGCTGATGATACTAATCTTTTCTTATTCTATACTGATATTTATGAACTCTTTTCAACTACAAACAAAGAACTCAATCACATTTCTAATTGGTTCAAAGCTAAATTAACTTTAAATATTATCAAAACAAAATGGATTATCTTTCACTCCTGCGTAAAAAAACGTTTTTTTACCAAGTAATATGCCTCAAATTTATATTGATGAAACAATAATAAAAAGAAATACTGTCATAAAATTTTTAGATTTTATCTTGATGAGAATATTACTTGGAGAAAACAATTTGATCCTATAACCACAAAAATTTCCACAAATATTGATATTTTATACAAAGCCCGAAATTATCTAAACAAAAAAAAACTTAACCTAAGTCTATTATTCCTTTGTGCACAATTATATAAATTATGCAATCATCGCCTCGGTACGCATAAAAGTAAATTACAACATCTCTATCGCCGTCAGAAACATGCAATCCGCGTAGTTAATTATGCGGATCGCTTTTTTCATTCAAAATACTTTTTTGATTATATGAAGGTTCTAGATGTTTATAAACTTAACATATTTAATTATGTCTTATGTTTTACTTTTATATGGAAAAACGATTTATCTTTATTTGTTTTTAAAGACCTTTTTTCTACAAAACCAATAAATACACATTAAGAAATAATAGTTTTTTTAAAATGAACCTTTTTATAGAACTAAGTTCAATCAATTTTATATTTCGTATCGTGCACCCCATCTTTGGAATAAAATAGTATTATTAAATTTTGATCCTTTTATCACTCTTCCTGTTTTTAAAATTAAGTTAAAAAAATTCAGTCAATTCTATGGACAACATTCTAGTAAAAATGTATGAAAAATGTATTTGTTAAATCTTCAGCTTATTATAAATTAAAATGTGTTGTATCTTTGCATGATGTAAATACGTTAAGTCTTCTCTCTCTCTCTATATATATATATATATGTTATAAATAAATATTTTTACTTTTTAAGGTTCTGATGATAAGATCCTTATGATCATCTTTCGGAAACCTAGCTTTATATTGTTAGTACGCTGAATTGTATCATTTACGTAAATGTATTACGACTTATGTTTATGTAACACGACTAGCATTGTAAACAAACACGACTAACATTGTAAATTGAGTTCAAATTTTCAGGGTTGTTTCTTTATATATAGAACTGCAATAGCTTACTAGAACTAATCTTAAACTTGTTTCCATTTGAATATATTGATATTTCACTATAGGTTTTTGTATCAATAATTTCCTTTTAAATTGAAAAAGCTGCCATTTTTAAAATAATTATTATTTTTAGTTTTTCTAGTAAGCTTAAAAAAATAATAGTAATTTTATTATGACTAAAGGTTTTTTCTTGAACTAAAATCCAGTGATGAGCCAGATTACAATACAATATTGCAGATAATGCTGCAGATGATGTATATATATATATATATATATATATATATATATATATATATATATATATATATATATATATATATGCATGTATGTATGTATATACATTTATTAGTATATATACACATAAAAATTTAAAACCCTCTTAATTTAAAATGTTTTTTTATTTTGTTATTATTATTTCAATTCACAGTATATAATTTATTATACAATTTTAATTAAATAACAACTATTTACTTAGTTGAGTAAAACCTTTACTTTTATTACATCTAAATTGACATAAATTGTTCCACAGGATGTCTAATCTAGAGGGACGTCCCGAAGAGATTTTAAAGGAGGGGGTGAAGTGTCTCTTTTTTGCCGACTAAAGCTAAAAAAAAAATTTTTTTGCCTACTAACTTAGATAAAAAAAAATAAAGAAAATAAAGTCCTCGTTTTCCCAGATTTGCCGACTGCCTACTATAGAGATCCAATTTTGCCGACTCCAGTTCCCATTTGCCGACTGATAAAATTCATTGGGGGGCTAGACACCACCTACGCCCCCCCTCGGGATGGCCCTGCTAATCTAGTTGATTATCTAAAGAGCGTGAAAACAATATTTTTAATCATTATAATTAACCGCTAACTTGTAATAACAGCGCTACGTAATCAGGGAATTAGTGACCTCGGTAGTTATATGTTAGATAATTAGTATGCACTTTTGTTTTATAATTTACTCTTTTTTTTTTTTTTAGGTTTGAGTCTTGCACCGTTATATCAGGTACAGTAAAAAACAATTTTTTTAATGCATAACTTCATCGCCTTGAGAGTTAAATTAATTAGATAGGGAGTTGTATTTTCTAAAAGTTTACAAAAGATAATGAAAAATAGAAAATTTTTTTTTTTCTTTTTTTAATATATAGAGGCCATATTTAAAAAATAAAAAATTTTGAATTGAATATAAATTTGACACTTTGCAGTGTGGCGACACTGCAAAGTGTGTTGCACTTTTAATCGCAACTTTATTTATAATTAAGTTTCGTGAAAAAAATTTTAAGATTTTTTAAATAGAAATTTTAAAATTTGAATTTTGTTTATTTTGCGTTTTACTTTTATTTTTTAGGGTTCAAGTTCACAAGCGATATTTTTAAAACAAAACAAAGACGTAGAAACAGCTTTTGACAAGTTTATAGAAATTTTATATAAAACTTACCTAAACAATCAAAAAAGAAATGAAAAAGTGACAGAAAGTGAACAAAAGATTCCTATGATAGGAAGAAAAGATGAAAACAGCACAAAAAAAAATTACAATAGTGTAGAAACTAACAAGTTCGATTTGTTTTCTGATTTCGATGAACAGTTTCCTAAAAATATTGAATATGAAAAAACTTACACAAACTTAGAAAAAAAAGTACTTGAAGATAGGAGGCTGCTATCGTTATTAAACGAAATATTAAATTCTCGAATTACAACTATTCGACGTAATATTCTAATTCAAAGAAAAGCAAATAGAGATAGTTACCAAAATGAAGAAAAAAAAAGATGAAAATAAATGGCAATAATCCGATGAAGATATTAGACAAAAATCGCAAGTTATATATTTACGTAAATCAAAAATAAGATAATGTTAAAGATGTCACTTTACTTAAAAAGAAAATATTTTTTGCCAAACTATTTTTTTCTATTTTTAATCTATTTTTTTGAATGAAGTTAAAAAAGTAATAGTTTAAAGATTACAAAATAGGAACAGGACACAATTAAAATCAAAACATGTTTAAATATAAAACGTGTCCTCGGCTATCGGGAGCCCTTGATATTTTATGTATGTATTATATTATATGTATTTAAATAGGGATAGGAGGATAGCAATATTCTATGTTTTATATTTTTAATTTATTTTTTGTAAAAAATTCCAGTTATATATAATAAGTATTTTGAACTAAAAAAGTTTAAAAACAATTTTTACAAATTTTTTACGGTTGGTTTTTTAATTACATTTTTTAATTTAAAAGATTTTAAAAAACTTAAAAATAATTTCATTTCTCAATTACTCCTCAACGGCTTGTAGGCAACATTTCTGTCATAATGTTACAAAGTTGATCTTTAAAACTATCTTCAATTCTCTCAGAACTATTTAAAAAGTGATCGACTGATTTATGAAAAATCTCTTATTCGTTCCTGAATGGAATTTTGTTTTCATGGTTTTTCTGATTCATTAGAACATCATTAGAAGAATGATGTACTTTGTCTTCTAGACAAGATTCAAAAATCCATTGTTAATGAGATTGGACCTGTTCTATCTGTCAAGCTTGAGTCACTCCCTTATCTTTGTAAGATTGCATCTCTTTTTCTTTTCTACAAATACTATCATGGTTGTTGCTCAAAGAAGCCAACATCTCTAGTTATATCGAAGCTTATTCTCGTTTAAGTCGACATATAGCAAACTTGCATCATTTTACTGTATGTGTCCCTTCAGGCTTCAAAAACTTTTATTCGTTATCCCCGCACTTTAATTCTTTGGAACTCTCTCTCTTCGTTTTATGTTTTACTGACTCATACAACCTACAACTTTTGAATTCTTCTGTTAATCGTTTCCTTGCTCTTTAACACTATTCTTTGTTTTCTAGTGATTCCCAACTCAATAGTGGTTGCTTGCAGCTTTGTTGGGGGTGAATTAATACAAAATGTAAAAAAAAAAACTTAGCATTTTTTAAAATAAAATTTAAGAACCGTTTTGTAAAATATAGGAAATAAAATTTAGTAAAATTAAAATAATAAAATAACATTAAAGAACTGAAAAAATAAAAATATATAATCTTAAAAATCACATTTAGTTTTGCTTTATAGTTTTTATAATTAATAGTTTTCATAATTTATAGTACTTTTGTAATAGTATTTTATAGTTGATAGTTTTTGTTGTTTAATTAGATATAAAGTTTTTTCAATGTTAATTTGATATAAAAGCAGTTGAAAGATAAAAAAATAAACAAACAGAAAAAAATAAAAGTAAAGCACTTTCGTTTGAAATTAAAATTAGTATCTTAAAAAAATAATAATCAATTATAAAGTTAATATATACTAATAATTAACTGTATTTAATAAAGTAATTAACGCTGATTATTGTTTTCTAAGGCTTTTTAGAAGAAATTTAATTTATTTGTATTTACCAAAAGGTTTTGTTTTAACTGTTGCAGTTCCATTTTTTTTAAATTTAGAAACATTTAATTTCTACGTTGTTCGAGACTGTTTAGATAATTTATGTGCTGAGTTTTGGTTCGGATTTAGTACGCGTGCCAAAGTTTTTGAACTTTGGCACGCGTACTAAATACCATTAAAAAAATTATTTCAAAATTAATTACGGGAAACAAATTTAAAAATATTTTATATTTGGGATCGTCCATAAAGTACATACGTTTTTTTTCGTCAACAACCCTCCCCCCCCCCCACACACACATTATGCAATACGCTTTTTTGAGTACCCACACCCTCCCTAAAAGTACCTACGCTTTTAACCTATTTATCTAACATTTTATATATTTTTTAATTTACTGTCTTTTTTCTTTTATAATTGACCCACTGCCCTTCCATCTCATATACCCCATTAGCAGACCCCTCTTCCCCTCCGAGCGTACGTACTTTATGGAGGATCCCTTTCGTATATTTACTAAAGTAGTTAACAGTAATTATTTGTTTTCAAAGGTAATTTATTGTGTTAGTATTTTAGTAATTAAAAAAACAACTTTTGCTATTTTATTTCGTATACTCATAATAAATAAGAAACCAACATTTTTCTTACCTCGTATACTAAAAAAAGAAAAAAGAAAATCAGGAACGAATTTAGATAAATAGCGAATAATTATTCAAATACAAATGATAAATAGAAAAAAAAAATTTATACAACTAAATTGGAACTCCGTGAAAATAAAAAAAACTATATAAAAATACAATTCAACGTGTAAACCATTCGAAAAAATTAAAAATTTAAAAAGCTTTCACAAATCGAGAGAAAATATGAGATCATTCTTTTCTTCTTATATTACATATTCGAATTTAAAGATATTTTTTAACAGAACACATTTGCAAAGAAATTTTTCTTTGTTAATAATAATAAGTATATTTTTCATTTTGTTTGCATCGAAAAAACTATGAAATTGGTAATTTTTTACTGTCTAAATACAGTTAAAAAAGACAAGGTAAAAAAATACGTCCTGAGGAATAAAACTCGACACATCAAGCTGTAATCATATATAGGATATGTTCTTTTGGTGATTCTTGTTTGTTAGTAGATCTCTTTAGTTGATAAAGGTTTTTGATTTTGACTTTCAACATCATTAATGTCATAACCGCGTTTAAAACCTCGAGCTTTTTCAAAGTATAAAATATACTTGCATACATACTAAAATAAAAAATTTGAGAAAACTAATAAAAAATTAAAAATAGATTTAAAAATTTATCAATAAATCAAAACTCATTAGAGATTTTTAAATAAAAAAAAAATCTTTATAACAAATCACGCGCAAATGTTAATTTTACTGTAGAAATAAATATTTAAAGTTTTTTATAAAAAACATTAAACATATTACTGTTCATGGGTTACTTAAAGATAAAAAAAGTGCTGTTTATCCAAGACAATCCCCTGTGTTACGAGTCAACAAAAATTGAATGATTAAATTGAATGGATTACGAACTGCTTACCTCCTCACCGTGCTCTCTAGATCTGGGCAACAGCAACTACTGGCCACCTGAGGAAGTTAAAATAATGCAACTACTGGCCACCTGAGAAAGTTAAAATAATGCTTCAGGAAGAGAAACTTGAAAAATGAAACGATTGCAAAAACTGAGGGTCGGAGATAAAATGCGGAAATAAAGTATTGAAAATATCTACTAACCCTAACCATATCGCAGCCTCAACCCAGCTGCTGTCTCATTCTTGAAAAAGAGTACGTTCGACTTTGAATATTGAATAAAGTCGAATTTTTAAATAAAAAATTGTTTTTTTATATAGACCAGAGATTTGAGCAATGAATTTACTAGGTCGACGATTTTTAAAGCCTGTTTACACTGAAAGTTTAAAGGCCTTAATAAGCATAGGGTGGGTGGGCAAATTTTCCAAAAATTAATAAACTCCACCCCCGTCTCCTCCTTGTATTAAGGACTCAAGAGTACATTAGAACTAAAGATTTAAATTAATTAAGGGTTAAAGACATTTTATAAAATTGTTTCAAGTGAAACCTGGAACTTTACACGTATCATTATTTCAAACATTAAAACTCATATAAAGTTTAAAGATAGGGTAGAAAAAATCTCAATAACAAAGAAATTTTGCAGATTATATGAGGGCGCATAAATTTTTAATATTAGTTTTCCTCCTAGCAGAAAACTTCTTTTATTAATTGTTCTTTAAACCTGTTTTTAAAAACTTTTTATTCATAACTATCCATTATTATTAATTTTGTTCTAAAAATATCTGAATGCTTTTTTATTAATTGATAATTTGTTAGCATTTATCATTTTCTTTTAGAGAAATCAACTCTCACACATGTACAAATTATCATGTTTTCAAAGATTTCATTCAACAACTAGTTATAGACTGGCTACCTCTATATTGAACCTTATTTGCATTTTCTATCACATCCTTTAACATTTTGAATAGTTAAACCTGTATGTAGCATATTAAAATAGTATTAGAAATAAACAACAACTTAGTATTGAGTACTAAATACTCGATAATAAAAAATAACATTTAATAAAAACTATTAATATAAAAATAATGCAACTTACTGATGGTCTTGACTCAAAACCCAAACATTTAATTCGAAGATCCATGCTAAAAAACACATCTCTTGTAAAAGTATTTTTTTACACTTAAAAAGTAGAACACGCTTAATGTCATTCAATACTTGTTTCAAAATCAAATAATACATGATGAAAAATTTTGTATTATTAACATATATATATATATATAAAACATAATTTACTTAAATATTATTTGACCATAAGTACCAATGCCAGCAAAAGTGTGCCATAATGCATGCAACTGTGTTGTTGGCTGAAGGAGAAGCGGTAAAGCACTACGCACTTCTCTAAATAAACGAACTAACAACTTTATACACAGGCTTATATATTTAAAATTAAATATATACAGATATTCAATACCTGAAATATATATATATATATATATATATATATATATATATATATATATATATATATATATATATATATATATATATATATATATATATATATATATATATATATATTAGGGTGGTGCTAAAAACAACTTTATTTGAAAATGTCTCCTAACATCCCCTAAATGTGTTCTATAAAAAAAAAATTTTTGAATAAAAAAAATTTTTAGGGTACCACAAGACCCTTAAACATCAGACAAGTCCCTATAATTATCAAAACAAAAGTTCTTCAAAAGTAGATCATGCTGGGTGTCAAAAGAAGCGAAATAATATAAAAATTTTAAAAATAATCATCATTTTATAAAAAACATTAAGAAAAAAAAATTATAAATTTTTTTGTAAAAATGCATATTTTAAAAAAAATCCTATTTTAAAGGCAGCAATTTTATTAAATGATGATTATATTTGAAGTTTTTATATAATTTTGCTTCTTTTGAGACCCAACATGATCTACTTTTGAAGAACTTTTGTTTTGATAATTATAGGGACTTGTCTGATGTTTAAGGGTCTTGTGGTACCCTAAAAATATTTTTTATTCAAAAATATTAGGGACGTGTTAGATGTTTAAGGGTCTAGTGGCACCCCTAAAAATATTTTTTATTCAAAATATTTTTAAATCTAGTATTATTTTATTATATATTTATACATTTAGGGGGTGTAAGTAAACATTTTCTAAAAAAGTTGTTTTAAGAGCCACCCAAATATATATATATATATATATATATATATATATATATATATATATATATATATATATATATATATATATATATATATATATATATATATATATATATATATATATATATATATATATATATATATATATATATATATATATATATATATATATATATATATATATATATATACACATATAATATATATATATATATATACATATAATATATGTATATATATATATGTATATATATATGTATATATATATATATATATATATATTTTATGTATATATATACTTATATATTATATATATATACATACATTCACACATACATATGTTACAGCAAAATTGAGAACTTGAAGCTGAATTCATGAAATCGACAGAAAATTACTTATTCAATGAATTTAGCACTGTTGTTGCCAAATTCCAGAAATATGCAAAATCGTGCTAGGCCGTAAGAAGAATTTGCGGTCTGTGGAAGTAAAGCACTCAATCAGAAACTACACAGCGGCCTTGACTGAAAAAATAACTAACCTGGTTGACAAGGTTTGCGATTCAGAGTTTAGGGCTGAAATATTGTTGCAAAAAAAAAATTATTTGCTTAGAATTTTAGAACTTAAAAGTGTCGCATTACACCCATTATTTTGTTTTTCTGAGTAATAGGACTGAGAGATTTATTGCTATGGTTTCTTTACTGTTAAAAAAAAAAATTTAACTATTTGGACATTATTTACAAAACCGATTTAATATTATTGTTTTCTTATGCAGCAAATGAAAAAAGAAAACAACAACATATTTGCCTAAATGCTCTTTTTATCAAGGTCTTTTTCATAAAAGTCACTGTATTAATTTATTATATATATTTCAGGATTGGCAAAAAAACCCAACCCAAAAAGAATCCAAGATAATTTGGATAATTTATGGGTTTTTTTTAAAAATATCTTATTTTACAACTAATAAGTCTCCTATAAATGCTTTATGCATGATCAAATTGCAAGTTTTATATTGTAAATACTCTGGTATTTACAATATAAAACTTGCTATATAATCTGTAAATTAGTTAAATGTTTATAAAGGAGAATAAAATCATTCAATCAACTAAATTTCAAAGTACACTTTTATAAAATGACTTGTTTATTTTATATCTTTCCTCTCAAATGTCCGAATAAGTTTTTTAAATCTGTCATGTTATATTGGTATTTGATCTTTATTTTGTAAAGTTTAAGCTATGAACAGCAAAATTCAGTACAAGGCCACGAGCATAATACTATTTAAATATTGTTAAACTTTATTTACAGTCTGGAAGTAGAAAGTCGTCAGGTAAAAAAAAAAAGCTACAGTTTACAACTGTAGACTGGTCCTTGTGAAGTGCATACAACCTGAAAACATTAAACACATACGCTATGTGCATTTAAGTTTGCAACATGTTTGCTTATTCGATAAGAGAACATTTTGGAAAATTGTATGCACTCAAAAGGACAGGGTTTATTGATGAAATAATTGAGGAAATGATACTCGTACTTATCTGCCTACAGATTTAAAAATTTTATATCAGCTGCAAGTTTACAACATGTACCATCAATCAGGGTATGAACAGCAGGGTGAAAATGAACATCAAAACAAAGTTTATTAAAAGGTGAGGAAACAATAGAGCTATATATTGTGTTATTTTGATTCATTTGCTTTAAATATAATATATAGAAGCTAATTTTTAGCTGTGCAAACAATTTGCTGTCTTCAGCTTTTCTCTATCACATATAAACAGCAAGAGTTCAGGCAGTTGAATGAATTATTAAGCTAACATAAGAACCACATAACTAAAAACCATAAAAGTTACTACTCATCAAGTTCGGATACATATTGTTCTAATAAAATCAAAATTTAGGTGTAGCTTGTCAGTATCTAATTACTTGCTTATTTAAAATGACACTTTTTTTATAAAGAATTCAAGGTTTTTTTTGTTTTAAGAAATTTGTCTCAAAATTACAAAAGAAAGGAAAATAGCTGATGTTATAAAACAAGTTACACTCAAGGAGACCTAAAAACAGCTATAAATAAAGTAAAAAACCACGGATTTACCATGTGGAAGGCTGCTATAAATAATAACATTCCATAAGGAACACTACATAAAAAAGTGAAACTTGGGAATCAAGTTCCAAAAAAGCAAGATCAGTGGTGTACACTGTATTTTCAGATACTCGAGTTTTGACATATAAAGGCATTGTGCAAACTCAAAACTTTTGTATCTCCATGTTTATGTCAAATGAGAATGTTTTGCAAAGAGTTGCGGTGATTAGAGCTTGGGGACAAAAAAGCCTTAATTTTTGGGCCCATCTCACCCTTAACGTGGGAGCAACAAGTTTATAAAATAACTTTCTTAGTATTTTATTCTAAGTTTATATTCATCAACAAATTTCAAATTTCATGCAATAATCTTTTAGTGTTCTTATGACCGTACAGAGTTTACAGCCCCCTCAAATTGAGGGAGTTAAAACTTTATATGGTCATAATTTACGAAAAATAAGAGATTATTGCATGAAATTTGAAATTTGTTGATGAATATAAACTTACATAAAAATACTACAAAAAATATTTTATAAACTTGTTGCTCCCACTTTAAGGGCTGGGTGGGCCCAAAAATTGGAGTTTTTTCCCCCCCAAATTCCAATCACCGCGACTCTTTGCAAAATATTCTCATTTGACATTAGCATGAACATACAAAAGTTTGGTGTTTGCACAATACCTGTAAGTGTCATAACTCAAACATCTAAAAATCCACTGTACACCACTGAAGGTGCACTTGATAATTTAATAAAAAGTTTATTTGTTCAAACAATTATATGACCGATTAGAGCAGTGATTCCTAAACATTTTTGTGTTGTAGACCCCTTGCCATGCTTTTTGGTTTTGGGTAGACCCCTAACTTCCTGATATTGATTTTTCGTTAATTTCTAACTGTAGTGAAGTTTAGTTTTAAAAATGTCAAGTAAAAACACATGCTAAGTTTTATACATTTATTAATTGCATTTAAATTAAAAATACTCGAAATAAAATTGTGTATCTGTATACGTAACATAAAATAAACACAAAAAATAAACTAAGCAATAAGTAAATTTTTTTAGTGAGAATGATGAACCTGATGCTTTTATAATAAATTATCAACAATTAGCGCCAACTTTGTGAGATTTAATCTTAAATCTCCTTGGCTAATGATGTCCAGTCTGTTTCTTTTTTTTGTTAGGAGATCGGTAACAATGCTGAATCCCCTTTCCACTAGGTATGAGGATGGAAAGGAAATAAAAAATTTCCTTGCTATATTCCATAATATGGGATAAGTATAGGGTATGATGTTTTGCATCCAGAATTGCTGATATCGGTTTTTAAACTGAACCTTAAGTTCTTCATTTATACTTAGTGCAATCAGTTCCTCTTGTATTATGACAATTGTTTCTTCTATCTCACCATATGGGTTAATTATCCACGGTGGTATTACCATAGTCAAAACATTCTCAAACCTAGTTTCGAAATCTAAATAAAGGGCATTTAAATGTTGAACATAGGTTGAAATTCCATCTTCCAGACAGTTTGTCTGTGACAAACTGGAGAACTGGGAAAGTTCGCCCTGTCCAATATTTTGCCTCATTAGTTTAACTCTGGCAAGAAATGCTGATAAGATAGATTTTGTTTTAATCAAATTAAGATTGTCACTTTGTAACTGCAAGTTAACTATTTTAAATTTTGTAAACAAATCTGTTAAATAGGCAATGTATTTTTCCATTTTATTAAATTGTCTTTTAAAATTTTATCTTAAGTATCCAAAAATTCTAAAATAATCTCAAAAAGTCCAAAAAATCTTGTTAAAAATAAGCCTTTCGACAACCAGCGTACTTCAGTGTGAAGAAGTAACTGATGAAAGTGTTCGCCATTTTCTTCACACAACTGTGCAAATAACCACGTATTCAACGTTTTGCTTCGGATTCGGTTTACTGCATGAATGACTAATTGAAGAGATTGATGCAATCTAGTGCTCAAATTTTTAGCAACTAAATATTGCCAACGGATGATGCAATGTATTGCTAACACCCCTGGCACATTTTGCTTTAAACAGCTTATAAATCTGCGATAACGTTCAACCATGGCAGGTGCTCCATCTATAGTTACTGATAAGATATTTGATAAAGGGATTGCTTTTACAATAAAGTAATCC